AAGCAGCCCTGTTTATTTCTCATTCTCAACTCAAGCTGTCGTGGACAGCACCTTGCACAAAGCACAGACGCAGCGCAGCGGCAGAAGCACTTGGTTGCCGCGTAGGCTGCGTCTACACAGGCTTTGTGCCCGAGCATCAAAAGACAGCTGACAGCCTGGCTGTGTGCGTGTGCGTGTGCGTGTGCGTACGTGTGACCGTCTCACACACCTGTGCAGAGCCAGCTGCCTGCGTGCGCCAGGCAGGGATGTGCGGGCAGGTGTGCAGAACGGGCCCAGCTGGGCGGAGAGGACGCTTAGTGTGCAGTAGCCACTGGCCGTGGGGTGGCCAGGTGGGGGACCGCCTGACCCTCTGAGGTCATGTGGGAAGGGCTCTGAGCCAGGCTGACCGGGGTGGGCATTTCTGGCCAAGACGGTGGAAGGGAACAAGGACCTAGGCCAGTGATGGGAACCTTCTGAGCTCGGCGTGTCAGCATTTTGAAAAACCCTAACTTAACTCTGGTGCCGTGTCACATAGAAATTTTTTGATATTTGCAACCATAGTAAAACAAAGACTTACGTTTTTGATATTTATTTTATTTAAATGCCATTTAACAAAGAAAAATCAACCAAAAAAAAGAGTTCGCATGTCACCTCTGACACGCGTGTCATCGGTTCGCCATCACTGACCTAGGAGCTCCTGTCTGGCCCGGGCACGACCTGGGTTTGGAGGACGCTTGGGCGGAGCAGGGCCGCTGGACGGGACAAGGGCACGGAGGGCGGCACTGGCGGCCGTGGTTCCAGCGGCTGCGGCTGTTTATTGAGAAGCGTTTCCCGGGCATCGCGCTCCAGCACCAGGGCCTGGCTGGGCCTCTGTCCCTTGTCGTTAGGGGAATGTGCCTGACCCGGCCACGCGTGGCGCCCCCTTGGGTCCCGAGCTGGCTGGCAGGGAGGCCCTTTGTGGGCTGAGGGTGCAGACCAGGGGCCTCTCCTCTCGCTGCCCTGACCTTCAGGGAACACACATGGGCTCTTATCTGGGACACGGGCTCCAGCACCAGGGCCTGGCTGGGCCTCTGTCCCTTGTCGTTAGGGGAATGTGCCTGACCCGGCCACGCGTGGCGCCCCCTTGGGTCCCGAGCTGGCTGGCAGGGAGGCCCTTTGTGGGCTGAGGGTGCAGACCAGGGGCCTCTCCTCTCGCTGCCCTGACCTTCAGGGAACACACATGGGCTCTTATCTGGGACACGGGCAGCGCCTGCCAGGGCCACACCCTCTCCAAGGAGCGGACGCACTGCCAGGCCACTGTTCACGTGTGTCCTCAGCCTCTCGCAGACGTGCCGGGTGCCGGGGGGGAGGCCGCAGCATGGTGCCTGTCCCCGAGGGGAGCTTGGGGCCCTGGCCATGATCCTCTCCAGCCCTGTCCTTGGGCCCCATGGGCTACTGTCTGGACAGCAGGTGGTCTGGAGTCGGGGGCTGCACAGAGGCTCCTGGGTGACCCTGGGCCCAGTCTTGGGGCTTGGTCAGCCTTGGATCCTTTGCTTGGTCATCAGCTCAGGGCAAGGGCCCCCTCCAGCCCAGGCCCCAGG